AATATAGCTTCAGGCTCCCCCGCTAGTTAACACAGCACTCAGTGATCTCAGCTCTTAATAACATCAGCTCTTTTGTGATTTCAGCTCTTAGTGATTTCAGCTCATAGTATAGTAGGGGAGCCCCAGTGCTGGTGCACCATTGGCCCAAAGTGAATTCAGCTCAGCAGCCTGTAACTAGACTCCTAAGGGAATCAAAGTTAGCTCTGACATTCAACAGTGGAGAGAGGAGGCAGTGCAATTGGTGCTTCAAACCCTCAGAGGGGGCCCCATACCATCAGGTACAAATACCTGTCCCCATCCTCTCTCAATTCACTGGGTTTTGTAACCATGCCCCTTGACAAGCAAATGCTACTTAGGTAATGGTGAAGGATTCACTCAGTCCTTCTGTCATACAACAGTTCCACTGGCCTTGATTCACAGAATCAGGGTAACAAAACTTTATTCTTCCTGCCCCAATAACAGAGAAACTGGGGATCCCACACCAGCCAAAGTAACCACTTTCGGTTGCTGTGGGCTCATGCTATGAGCGTGGGTGGGCCTATGCAAACAAGATCCGCCCCTGGAGTTCTTTTCCACACTCGCCATAATTCACCACCAGATGTCAGGGTAGAGCTCATCCTGACTCTGCTTACACATGTATTATCCCAGGAGCACTTGTCAATTCAATCAGTACCTTCCAAAATTCACATACACTTCAGTTAGTATTTTCCACTTTCTGGTGTGGTATTTTTTTAAAACGGCAATCAGTTTGACCTACACAAACTTGCTAACAGTGTGCCCATAATACATGTCATGTGAGTTAAGTTGATCCTAGCACTTGCCAAATGTAAAATCAGAACTAACTAATTTTCCCTCAAACTTTGGCTTCAGATTGAGGTTTTTAATGAGATCTACAAAACAGTCATGTAGTCTGATGTTGTGCTCTACTCCTTTTGCACATCCCTACAGTTTGTAGGAAATTGGTTGAGTTGTTTAAAAGTTATGGGTATTTTAAGTCAGCAAAACATTTTTGAAAATTGTGTATGTGATGGGCCGCCCCCATTGGCCTCATGAAGAGTTTGTACACCCCGTCACCCAGTTGTTGGGATTTCCTGTTAGATCAGGTAATTGCAGTATAGTGGGCTCCGGACTCCTGGCAGGGCCGAGAAAACAGTCAGTAGCCCCCTGAGTCTCTGGGCTGGGGCAGACAACAGTTGGAGTTCTGGCCCTCTGGATAGGATAGAGCAATGGTCAGCCTGTAGCCCCCAGACAGGGCTAGGCAAACAAATAGTCAGTGATGAGCTGCCAAAATATTAACAGCTGGTTCCCTCCTCCTCACCCCACGAGGGGGTCGTGCCCCTCCCCCACCCCCCAGGACTCCTGCCCCATCCAACCCCCCACGTTCCTTGACACCCCACCCCCAGGATCCCTGTCCCATCTACCCCCCTTCCCTGTCCCCTAACTGCCCCCTGCCGCCCCATCCAACCTCTCCTCTCATTCCTGATGGCCCCCCGGAACCCCTGCCCCATCCAACCACCCCTTCTCTCTGTCCCGACTGCCCCTGGAACTCCTGCCCCTGACTGCCCCCCACCATCCCATCCAACACCCCTGCTCCTTCCTGACTGCCCCCCCAGGACCCTTGCCCCCATTCAATTCCCCTGTTCCCTGCCCTCTGACCGCCCCGAGTCCCGACCCTAATCCACCCCCCCCGCCCTCTATCCAACAGCCCACTCCCTGCTCCCCTTACCGCGCTGCCTGGAGATGGGGGCTATGCCGCCCAGAGTCAGGGCCGGGAGCTGCGGGTGCCAGGCCGGAGTCAGGGGCTGGGCTGGAGCTGGGGGCCGGGCCGGAGCTGGGGGCTGTCCCGAAGTCGGGGCCCGAGCCGCAGGCCGGGCTGGAGTCGGGGCCCGGGCCGGAGCCGCTGGCCGGCCCGAAATCGGGGCCGGCCCAGAGCTGGGGGCCAGGCCGGAGCCGGCCCAGAGTCGGGGCCGGGCCGGAGCCGCTGGCTGAGCCGAAGTCAGGACCGGGGGCTGGAGCCTGGGGCTGGCCCAGAGCCGCTGGCCGGCCCGAAGTTGGGGCGGGGAGCTGGCCCGAAGTTGAGGCCGGGCCGGAGCCGCTGGCCGGGCCGGAGCCGCTGGCCGGGCCGG